TGGGCATTTATTTTTTTCTCTCGTTTTGGTGGAGCACATCCTCTGGCAGTTGCCAGACAATGGGAAACAAAGTTTGAAAGTGTGTGTGCCTGAAATGGCTTTATTTTGCCCTACTCCTTGAATGAGAGTTTGGACATCATTTTGCAACTCAATTTACCCCACCCACATATCACTTTGAGTAAATTTCAAATGCTTTCACCACAAAAAATTAAATGTTTGACTTTATGGCATGTTAATTCATTTGATTCTATTATGTCACATTGTACTTATAAATAATATTACTTTGTACCCTATAAACAACTGAGAGGGAGTAGAAAATAGAAAAACCTAAGGAAATTAAGAGTGCTAATCCAGAAGGTCCAACAGTAGAATTCTAGAAAGAGAGAAAAAGCACTGAAGTACATGAGTTTCCAAATGAAGAGGCCCAAAAAATATGGAAGTCATTGGATGAAAACAGTCCCCAAAGAGATCTCGTTCTTGGCATTCTGAAGCTCACAGAGGAAAGTGTTTTAAGCTTCACCAAGGGCAACAGTTAAATATGAAAGCTTAAGACTCACGACAGCCTAAGACTTCAGAAACTATGGAAGAGGAAAATGATGATAGTCCACTCAGGGACTGTGGCAGAATAAAGCTCTTGCAGACACAGAGTTTCAAAACTTTATCTCCTATTGTCTAGAAATTTCCAGAGGATGTGTACCACCAAAACAAAAAAAGTAAAATCCAAAGAGAAGAGGACATGGATTCCTGAAAAACTGATGCCCCAACACAGAGAAAATGCTGAGATTCAGGAAGATTCAAGGGAGTCAAGGTTGTAATAGGTTGGAAGCATTGGAAGAGATGGATTCGAGATGAAATGAATAGAATACCGGGGCCAAGTGCAGGAGAGGCAGAAATGGGAAGATCACAGTTCAATGCCACCCCAGGCAAAAGTCAGTGAGTCCTGGCTCAAAAAATAAGCTGGTGTACTTCCAGATATGCAGGAGGCAGAGGATGTCCAAACTCCCACTCAGGGACTATGGCAGAACAGTGGTCTGAGGCTGGCTCAAGACAAAAGCAGGACCTTATGTGAAAAATAAACTAAAGCAAAAGGGACTGGGGGTATGGCTCGAAGGGTGCAAGGCCCAGAGTTAAAACCCCAGTACTGCTTCCCCCAAAGAAAATGAGAAGATTGCTGCATTTCATTAGATAAAAAAGGACTGCATTTCTCAAAAGGAGACTTAAACGATTGGTGCAGAATGTGGGGTTGGATTTTGGTGACAAACACCTAGAAAACTAAATAGGCAAACAGTCAAGATTTATAATAACTTTGGGAAGACAAAAATTATAAAATGGTACTATTTTGTAAATCCACATTTGTCCTAGTTGTGAATGGCTCTATATAGTCATAAACAACAAACACTAAACTAATCAAATCAAGGACCAACCTACTTCAGGTGGCCATGAATGTGTCTGGATAGAAAAGGCAGAATGGTTAAAAAAAAAAAAAAAAAAAAAAAAAAGCTAGAAACTTCACATCTATTCTCAGTGTCAATTTAAGAGACAATATGTGCAACAAGGGTGGGAGATATTAAGTAAGTGAGTCAAGCATACATGCTCTTCATTGTTGGGATGCATGAAGAGTTAAAGCAGAGCCTCTGCAGCAGAAGTGTGATAGGGGAAGGGCACTGGTACATTTTCCTTTCCTAGGATTATTTGACCCCTTACATTACATGGATATATGATCTTGACTTGAAAAGAAACTTTAATTTTAAAATTCTTATGAGTGCTAATAAGTAATAAGGGAGTGTATGCATGGTCAATGTATTGTTATGAAATTAATAGCAAGCAGCAACAAAATGACTAACACAAGGACAATATGCCCAGACATGTCTCAGAACAGGTGTCTGGCTCATCTTCAGTGGTATTCGAGGAACTTCAACCTGCCTGGTAAATCAACAGTCTACTAGGAATTTAACCATTAAAATGTCTGACTCTCAAAATTAGAAAGGACGGAAACTTTCTTTAGCCCAAAATAACATGTGGTCAGTTTAAATGTTATACACATAAAATTTCATTATTTAGTTGGTTTTCAAATGTAGAATGTTAGGATGTGTTCACAATTTAAGGGAAAATGCAGTCAGACACTATATTGTTTGGGGGTTCTCTGGTTGCTTTTCTTTTTCTTTTTCTTTGGTAGTACTCAGGGCTCTGCACTTGCAAAGCAGGTACTCTATCATTTGAACCACATCTCCTGTCCATTTTGCTCTGGTTATTTTAGAGATGATCTTGTGAGCTCTTTTCCAGGGCTGGCCTCGAACCACAATCCTCTCAATCTTAGATTACTAATCCTAGCTAGGAATACAGGCGGGAGCCACCTGCTCCCAGTTTCTGGTTACTTGTCTACTTGATTGGTACGTGTATCTTGTATTTTGTGCCACCCTAACCCAGCAACTGAGAAATCAGTTATGTGACAGGCTTCTTCCAGAGCTTGATTATTGCTTAACTGAAGAAGGAAAAGCTCTCCTATGACCACTTGACCACATGGGAAGGACGCACATTCAAGGAGCCATGCAAAATATGTACTCTGCTCAAGTTCTTTGATTAAATAATTTTCAGTTGGGAGAAACCAATGGAGATGTTATCTGACCCATGAAAGGTCATAAGTCTTTGAGAGGTCACAGCATAACCTTCTGAAATCTTGTCCAAGTCAGTGTGTCTTAGATGGGACTGACTGACTGAAGGGCATGAAGTCCTTCCCTCTGCCATTCAAGGTATCAACAGAATATCAAATTCTCAAACTGTTGCTGTATGTGCTAATGACTTAAATGCCAGGGCTCCCCTTTCTTAGTCTTTCTGTGCAGAACAATCCATTCTGAAAACTCCACCTAGAAAAACTTAATCATCCTTTCAACTCCAGCATTAGGACATTTTTTTTTTTTTTTTGTAATGAGGTTTGGAACTCAGGGTCTCACACTTGAGCCACATCACCAGCCCTTTTTAGCTTCAGTTATTTTTTGAACAGGGTCAAGTTTTTGTCCTGTGCCTCAGACCTTGATCCTATCTGTGTCTTCTCCACAGCCAGGATCACAGGCTGCACCACCAAGTCCAGCTTATTTACTGAGCTGGGGTCTTGCTAATTTTTTTCACCCAGAACGTCTTGAACCTCAATCCTCCAGATTTATCCTCTGGAGTAGCTGGACTGACAGGTGTGCACCACAACAGCTGGCCAAGGACCACATCTGCATACCATGTACATATTTCCACTATTGCATTTGTCACACTGTAGGTTTTCTTTTTACAAGTGAATCTTCTAGACTAGCCCTCAAGCTGCTTGAGGAAAAATCTGTATCTTCTTTACTTTTTATCCCCAAAACACCCAAACAGTAGCTGCTGCCTGAATTTTCAAGGTCATTTTTAAAAATTCAAGTGCTGAAGTGAGGCCATAAGGCTGAACTCAGACAATCAGAACACAAAAACAAAGTTAAAGTACTTAAAGATTAAACGAGTATCTCCCACCAGACCACTGAGAAGTCCGCCTGCCCACTAGAGGGCACTGTGACTGGGACGGTCCTGACTGTGTGATCCACGGGTCCTGAAGGGCCAACTCTTGGAGGTGCAACCTCACACTCACTGCACTTTTACCCCAGTGATTTTAGTGAGACCCAACTTAAGATGAGGCAAGCCTTTAAACAGTGCTTGGAATATGCTAGAACTAATACACTATCAACAAAGTTTGGTCCTCATTGTGAATTAGTCAACTGGCTTTCAAATGCTGCCCCTGAAACTTGAGGAATGCTCCATTTTCTTCAGGTCTAAAACTCTCATAACGGGTTAATGGTTGTTTTGGATCCAGAGAGTAGATTTAACATGATGATTTTTTTTTTTTTCCAAGGTAGGGTCTCGCGATCCTCCTGAGCAGCTAGGATCTCAGCCGTGAGTCCCCGGCATGGCCGTCATCCTCAACCACTTTTTCGGCTCTCAAGAGCACTGCCTCCCAGTCTGCCGGCGTATCACACGCTTACCGAGTTTAGCTGGGGGTACCTGGGAGTGTGCAAAACTGTCAAAGTATAAACTTAAGCATTAGGATTCTTGCTCTACCTAGACAGGGTTTAAGGAAAGCTACCTGTTACGACAGCCACTAGTCTTTGCAGACACCAAGCTAGGGCGCGGTGTCACGCACTGCCTTAGAGCCCGAGGGCACAGAACGAAGCTCCAGACTGCAAGTGGAAATCACGACTGTCGTTTCTTGTAGATACTTCGGGTGACCGTAAACGCCCCCTTTAGTTTACATCGTCTGCAAGCACCACCCCGTCACCCTGTGGCCTTCGCCGAAGGGCAGAAGACCCAATCACCTGGCCACTTTTCAAAGGGGGCTACCCACAAAACACCCTCACAACAGGCAAGTCAGAAAGGCTCGGGGGTCCCCACCCCGTGCGTTTCACCCCTTGGGGTCGGTCGGGGAACTCCAGGGAGGCCTCCTTCAGAGGAGCCGAGGCGGGAGTTTCCGACGGCCGCCCAGCCTGAGGGCCACTCGGGACCGAGAAAAGGACGTCTCGGGCAGGCCGCGTTCGGTCGCGGGGAAGGGGGCTCGCGGGGCACGCCACAGGTCTCTCACCTCGCGCCCCGCAGCAAGAGAAGCTAGGGGGGCTGGCCGGCTCCGCCCTCCCCCGCGGGGCGCGGGGCGCGGGGCGCGGGGCGCGGGGCGCGGGGCCCGGCCAGCGTAGGAAGGCCACGACCCCCCCGGGCGGGCGCGACTCTATGGTCGGCGCGGGCCGCAGCCCACGTGACCCCCAAGCAGCCAATCCCGAGGCGGCGACGTGCCATCGAGACGGATGCGTCGGCGGCTAGAGCTGCCCGCCGGCGGCTCGCCAGCCCCAGTCGAGCCCGGCTCGGCGCTCACAGCTCGGTGCTGCCATCTTCCTGGAGGAGAGGGCAGAGGCGAAGGTCCCCCTCCCCGAAATCACTCCGCACTGACGCCGCCAACTGCCCGCCCCCGCCCGCCTCTTCCCCTCAGTGGCCACCTCGCTCTTTGTAAAGAAATGCCCTTCCCCACTCTGATTGCCCACGAGGCGGAGAATCTCATTACCTGTTCCACTCTTACTAGCGTGAGGAAACCAAGCTCATAAGGTAGGAACTGTGGCGAAACAGGGACAAGCCGCCATCTTGGTAAAGGAGAAGAGGCTACGCTTGATCTCCCCCCACCCCCCGCCTCTATATGGCCAACCGCCGTGGGAGGGGCACGGCGCCTGCTCAAAGGCGGTCGACGCGGACGCGTCTGCGCTTGCGCAGTGGGAGCCGGCCCGCTAGGGCCAGGAAGGAGTTGGCAAGGGGCGGGGTGGGTTGATGACGCAATCGGCCTGCGCGCGCCGCGGGACGGGGCTGGTCCCGGCCCAGTCGGTTGCTGTTTGTCCCTCGGCGGGTTGGCGGGTGAGTGTCTCGCGGTGGGTGCCTGCCGCTGCGCGGGTTGTAACTGAGCGGACTCTCCCGGGGGAACGCGGGGACGCTTCTCTCGCCCCGATTCTCAGTTTCTGGCCGACCACCTCTTGAGTGGGCGTGCGGGGAGGCGTGGGGGAGGGGCGGCCGCGCCAGGGCTCCGCGGGCAGCCCCGGGCCGGACTGGGGTGGCGGGCCCGGCGGCCCCACTCTGGACGATTCCACCTCGGGTCCCGACGTGGGCGCGGGACAGATACTGTCTAACCCCAAGCACGGGCGTGGCCGGAGCGTGGTGACCCTCGTGGACCCTGTGGGAGTAGTGGGCATTGTTCAAATACTGGGCCGTCGAGCGTCGAACGCAGGCAGGCGGGGGAGTGGGAAGGGAAGCTGCAGGTTCAGGTCAGTTGAGCACTTCTGCTTGTGTGGCCATCTTGTCACTTAACGGTGCCATTTCGTTCTGGAGATGTGTTGGACGTGCCAGACACTCTGCGACGTTCATGAGGCTCTCCGGTCCCCGAACCTACCCGGGCCTGTCTGCTGGACGCTGCGGATAATCGGGGGGAGAAGGAACAGGCTCTGTGTGGTGTGGCTTTCCGTGGGGAAGTGGCAACGCTAGACAAAGGACTGCACCAGTGAAGGAGACAGAAAGCAGCCTTAGGGTTCACAGTGGGAGGACCTCCGAGAAAGGCGGGTGAGAAGCAACCAAGGTCCAACTCTGACGCAGTCCCCAGGCCCCACACGCCTGGCCGTAGTATCTTCCGGCCTTACATTTTCTGGCCCCACACGGACGCAAGACCCAACCACACTGAACTACTTAACTGCTGTGGTCTCTCGTACTCTTGGCCTTTGCCCAAACCTTACATTCTGTCTACAACGCAGTACCGCCCACCTTCGCTGCCTTCTCCCTGTTTGGTGCTAAGTTCCTGCTCCCTATTGTTGTTCAGTACTCTTAACTGAATGAGATTTTCTCCAGGCTTGATCTGTATGGTAATGGTCACCCTTACCCATTGCCTAGCACGGTGGCCAACTTGAAGTGGGCGCTCAAGAATTTCTTGAGTGGCCTAAATCATGAAAATACCTCAGGTATGTTTAATATTCCAAAGTAGTCTTAAGAGACCTGTTGTAGTGGCTCACACTGCAATACCAGCTACTTGATCATCATTCAAGCCTAGCCTGGGCAATGAGTGAGACCCGATGTCAGAACAAGAGCAGCTTGGTGATTCAGGTCTGTAATCCAACTGTTCCGGAGGCGATGATAGGAAGGTTGCTGTCTGATCAGGGCACAGAGGGCAAAACCAGGCTACTAAAAGCAAATAACTGAAGCACAAAGGGGCTGGGGGGTGCCAGCAAGCAGGAGGCCAGAGTTCAAACCCCAATACTGCCCACCCCCCCCTCCCCGGAAAAATAAGCTGATGGTTGGGGTCATGGGAGCGATTTCATGTTTCCGATTTTATCTGTAGCTCCCCTTCAGGGATTCTTTGCTCCTCCAAGCATCCTGTTACCTCTATTTTTGGCATTGATCATCTTAGCTGTAAAAGTTGTACTGATACTTTTTTCAGTTTTCCCACCTTGTTGTCTCACCAGTGCTACAACTCAGAGTAAAGAACAAGAGCTTTTAAATGAGATTTTTCATCAGTGTGACTCAGGTCCCTTTTTATTCCCAATTCCAAAACAGAATCCACTGTAAAAGGAAAAAAGATTTTGGGGTTTTTTTTTTTTTTTTTTTAGTACTGGGATTTGAACTCAGGACCTTAAGCTTGCTAGGCCGACCCTACCACTTTGAGCTACTCTACCAGCCCCAGGAAAAGGATTGTTGTTTTCTGGAGAAAGGGCACTCCAGATCTCATCTGGCCAAAGAATTGAGGTGAGGCCATTTGTACAGCTTGTATTTATCCCAGTTGTTACCACAGAAAGATTGTGGGTGTTTCCCCTGGCACCATTGAGAGTTTTAAGTGGTGTACTGTACATGGGCCTTTCTCAAACCTAAAGGACCTGAATGCCAAAACATTCCAAGCACTTTGGATAAGGGATTAGGAATCTTTAGGGTCCTACATTGTAGGGAGTATTGTGAATTTGGAACAATGTATAGAAATATATGTAATCTATAGTTCCTATTTATGAATATTCCATTAATATGGATGCCACTGGTAGAACAAGTTTATAATGCCAAAAGTACAGTTTCATCATCCAGGCATGATGGTGCATAACTGTGGTCCTGGCTACTCAGGAGGCTGAGGCAAAAAATTCACAAGTTAAAGGCCCCCTTAGGCAATTTAGTGTGAAACCCTTTCTCAGTGTAAAAAAGGACCCGGCATGTAGCTCAGTGATAGAGCTGCTTCCCTGGCATGGGCAAGGTCCCAGGTTCAATCCCTAGCACCTCAAAAAACTGGTTTTATCCATTTATTGTCTTTTCTCTTAGGAAAATTGGTTTCTCATATGTTAAATTAGGGTGGGTGCATTGCTCTTTGGGTCAGATATGTAGGAGTTTTAAAGAACTTCTGACTTCTGGAATGAGTACAGTGTGAAAGAATAAAAATTTTGACTAAAATTTTGTTTGGGGAACCAAACCCTCCACCTGAGGTTTAAATTAATCTCAGTGCTTGGCAGTCTGTGTTGCTGGATCAAGGCTTTGTTACTGAAAACCAGGTGCTACAGATGTTCATATTCCCTTTCAACTTTCATTTTGCACTAGTTAGTAATTTAAATTGTTAGAAAACCATTGTAGATCCAAATTATGTTTGAGAAAAATACAACATGAAAACAGTAGGTGGCAAGAGAAACTTGGCAAAATTAAAGCAGAGTTGAATGACTTCTAAGGATTTGTAGCCTGATAGCCTCCACATTGATGAACAGTAATGGTAGAGTCATTTGGTCTTCAGAGGAAGGAATGGGGACCAGAGCAGCAGGAGGCGAAGCACCGCAAGATTGCTCAGGTGAAGTTTGTCAGAGCTGACCCAGGTCCTCATAATGGCCAGAGTGGCCAGTAAAGCTGAGGGTCTGCGAAAGTACAGAAGAGGTACTCCGTGATACTCCTGCATCATACTGCGTTGGTTAAATCAGATACACATGATAGCTGTGAAGGCAGATGACTATTCTTCTACCTGCAGGCGTTTATCCTTCCACGTAAACTTGGTTATTTTACCCAAACCTTTAAGAAAAAAGCCACACCATTAGGGGTTGCTGTTAGACTAATTATAATAATTTGGAAAATAAAAATGAATTTGATTCATGTAGGACCTGTTTATTCTTTCTAAATCTGTTCCTACATGTTTGAATCTTTTTAAAAAAACTTTGTTATAGATGGTATTTTTCCTCATTTCCATACAGAAAACTTAGGGCTAGGTGTAGATCAATGGTAGAGCACCTGCCTAACATGCATGGTGTCCCAGGCTTAATCTCTAACATTCCCTCTCCACACACACAATTCAGAAAGAAACTTTTGACTTAATTGCTCTCTTTTGTCTAGACACCTTACTAAATAAATTACCTTCTCTTTTTTTTGTTGTTTTTTTTGAGATGGACTCTCACTATGTTGACCAGGCTGGCCTGGAACTCCTGGCTCAAGTGATCCTCCTTATAGGCTTGGCTACTGAGCCTGGTTTAAAGTTCTTTTGGGAAGGTGGGAGTGGCTCAAGTGTTAAAGCCCTGAGTTCAAACTACAGTACCACCAGGAAAAACAAAACAAAACAAAACACTTTTTTTTCTTTTTAACCAAAGTATTTGAGTTCATCCTATCAGCAAAAAGTTTTTGTTTTGTGGTTTTTATTTCGTTTCAGTGCATTCACTAACTCACTAGTGTGTAGTGAAATTGCAGTGTCTAGATCTTATTGGATTCTGATTCAAGTGAAAAATATGAGACAATTAGGAAATAGGATCACTGACTGGGTATTTGGTTATACTAAAGAACTGTTACCAATTTTTTCTGGCTACTATGGCTTGTCATTTTTAGGAGTCTAATTCTTAGATAGGCATACTGAAATAAATGAAATGTTACAGGTTTTCCTTCCTAATCATCCTGGGGGAGTGGCTATGGAGATAAGGAAACTGGTTTGGCCTTGACTTGCTAATTTTCAAGGCGGATAGCGGGTGGTATGTTGACGTTTTATTGTCATGCTTTTGTGTGTGTTTGAAATTTTTCACATGTGTTTTAAAAGTTAGTAAGGGACATTCCTACCTAATTATTGATTATAATTCAAGTAAGTTTAGTATTCCATGTTTAAAGAATAGCATTTACCATGAGTTTTCAGAAATAATCTAGAAATATATTTAAGAGGTTTCCTACAGGTTGAGGGTATGGCTCAAGTGGTAGAGCACTTTGCTAGAAAGGAGACTCCAGCAGTACCAAAAAATAAAAAAAGTTTCCTTAGTGTTTGTTTTGTCTTTTTTGGTGATGGGGATCCAACCCAGGGCCTCACGCACTCTACCATGGAGCTACATCCCAGTCCTTCCTTTGTGTTTTTATTAGGATTGGTTGCTGAATTGTATTATTTACCTCATCAGCATATCTTTATGCATGGTTTTCTCTTTTAATCTGTTGTAATGTCTTATATTTGTATTCATAAATAGTTTGGGGGGGGTTGTTGTTTGTTGTTTTTGAGACAGCATTTCACTGTATAGCCCAAGCTGGCCTAGAACTTGTGATCCTCCTGCTTCAGATTAACAAGCATGTACTACCCCAGTCTGGCTCACAGGTACTTTTGATACACTTCTGAACTCTAGTTGCTGGCAAATATTTTTTTATTTTGAATTTTTGCATTTATACTTAGGAATGAGATTGATTTTTGGTGTTTCCTGGACTTCTTTTCCCTGCAGTAAGCAGGGCTTCCCTCCTTCTTTCCTTTAACTTCTGTTACTAAAATTGTGTTCTTTAATGGACTGGAGCACTTTCCTTTCTCTGTAGTGGTTTGGAAGAACTAAATACCACTGTTCTTTGTCTGTTCGTGGAACTGTGTTCTAATTCTGTCAGTTTTGTTTCCTTTTCATTGCTAGGTTTTAATCAGCTGTTTTGTGGTATTGGTTCTAATAAGGTTTTCTAGTTTTTGGTTCTGTTTCTGTAATTTATAGTGTCTAGAGTAGTGTCCATTTCTTTATATTTTAAATTTGTGGTCATCATGCCAATATCAGCTTCTGGGTCTGTGATTGTACCTTCTGTTTGGTTTGCTCTCATTTCCTCAATTGGCCTGTGAGGAATTTGTTTCAGCACATCAGTTTTGGATTTATTTACCCATCTGCTTTTTTCTCATAATTTAAGTTTTTCATCTTTTCCATTTTTAATTTAAAACAACCATGATTTCAGAATATTGACTGTAAAAAAAATTCTGATTTTGTTTAGACTTTTTAATGGTAGATACATGATTGTTATTTATTTGGTAGTACTGGGGTTTGAACTCAGGGCCTCATACTTGTTAGGGTGTTACTCCAGCACTTTAGCCACATTCTAGCCTTTAAAGATTTTTTTTTTAAACTTTTATTCTGTTGAGTCAAAGTTCACTATATTGGTTAAGTCAGAAATATTGGTTGTATTAATCCCTTTTGTCCTTGCTCATATTATGTTTACTGAGTATGTCCAAGTCTAAGAAATGTCCATTCAAATTTCCCTATTGGAATTGCATTCTTAAGTTAACCTTGTATTTATTTGTCTTTGCTTCATGTATTTGCAGTACTCACACAGGGTTGAGTGTTCTATCTTCCTTATAAATTGTTCCTTGCATATTTATCACTCTCTGCTTTGTTAATTCTCTTTTGTATCTTGAATTCCAGTTGGCTGATACTAATAATGCTGTGTTTGTACTGGCTTGATGTCTCTTAGCTCTTCCCTTCATTTTCAACCTTGCTTTGATACTTTGTTTTGTCTTTCTTTGGGTGATACTGGGGTTTGAACTCAGGGCCTCAGATTTGCTTAGGCAGCACTCCACCACTTGAGCCACTCCACCAGCCCTGATACTTTGTTTTGGCATATAGCTAGCCTGGTATATTTGTTTAACCTAATCTGTCTGCTATTTTAAGGAGGGAATTTGGTGCCTTCACTTTAATGCTGGTGACTGACATTCCTGAATTTCATTCTTGATTTAGGATGTTGCTGATTTTGTTTCTTTTCCTTATTTTTGCTGTTTGTTACATGTTTTTCCTCTTAGTTTGGAAGTTCCACTATAATTTTTCTTTAGCAGTTACTTTTCCTTTTCTTCTATAATCAGACACTTAGCTCTTTTATTACTTGAAATCAGGATATATAACTTCTGCCAAAACTATTTGTGTTCTATATGACCCCTTACTTCTCCCTTTAGAAAGTTTTACTTCTCTGTTTTCACTCCTGTCCCCAACTCTTAGGGTTTACTGGGGTAAATATTTTTAGTTTTAGCCTATTAATAGAATTTTCTTAGGATGTTCTTTCTGTTTGAGAGACCTTGATTCATTCTACTGCACAAGCCCAGATAGTTTGGTAGTGGTCTTTGGTCGTCTCAGAAAAAAAAATTTTTTTTTTCATCTATCCTCTCTTTCTTCCTTTATGAATTCTTATTGTTAACAAGGTAGGTTTCCTAGATTTTTCCAAGAGTAAGGCTTACAGTGGGCCACTAAAAAGGAGACCCAGGACTGTAACCTCTGTCTTCCATGAGCTGTAACACCATGGGGTTAAAGGCTCACAAATCCCATTGCCCTCTTCGTTGAGCTCTGGGGACTTCTTTCTTCCTGGGTGCTTGGGAACTTTTCCATTCAAAAGGGAAACTTGGGTGTACCATGTTCAAGAATGTTAAGGTTTAGAAAAATGGGAGACAAGAAAGTGAAAAAAACTTTCTAGTAAGTTTCTAAGCTCCAGAGGGAATCAAACGTTTCCCAAAGCTTCAAGGTCCTAACATTGGTATAAAAATTCCAGCTATCTCTATACAGGTGCTGTACACTTCTCAAAAACTGAAGGTGCCTTCAGTCTTTCCCCTTTTCTTGTAAATATCATTCACATTGCACACTGTAACCATCCCCCGCAATATCAAAATTTACTTCCTAGGTCTCTAGGGCTATCCAGTGGGTGGTGCACATGTTTAGGCTACAACACTCTCTGTAATGCATCCCTTTCTCCTTAAAAGATTTCAGAAAGTAGAGGGAAATTAATATATTCTAGAGGTTGAGGAGAATTGTACCTTTTTCTTTTCCCCATGGCATCCCTAGTGCCTACCATGTAATCAGTACTGGGGGAAAACATTTAAATATAGCTGAAAATGGTGGAAATGTATATATAGTTGCTATCATCGACTTCTAATTTTTAATTTTATTTTATCTTCATGGTGGGGATATGGCTCGAGTGGTAGAGTGCCTACTTAGCAAGTGCGAGTTCCTGAGTTCAATTCCCAGTACCCTAAAAAAAATCATAATTTATTTTTGTGATGAGTTAACATTGCTTCATCATTATGGGGAAGTATTTGAGGCAATTGAGAAGCTAAGTGAAGTAAGCTGCTGATGTATGTGCATCTCTTTAAAGGTGAGTTCATGCTGTTAAATATATCTGTGTATACATATATAGACATTTGTTTTCTTTTTTTTTTTACAGATAAAAATCACGAAAGATGTCTAAGGTAAGATCTATGTTTCCAGACTGTTTATAGTCAGGATTTCTCTGATATATTTGCTACATTAAGACAAAGAGTTTTAGGGCCGTGTGTGTGAGTAGTCACATCCGTTATCCTAGCTACTCGTGAGACAGAAATAGGAGGATCACAGTTGGAAGGCCAGCCTGGGCAAAAAAATTAGTGAGACCCTATCTGAAAAGAACAAAGTGGGCAAGGTAGTACCTGCCTATAATCCAACTATGTTGGGAGGCGTAAGTAGGGGGATCAGGGTCCAAGACCAGTCTGGGCAAAACTGCCAGAGCCTATCTGAAAATAAACAGAAATAAAAAGGACTGGAAGTGGTTTAAGTGGCAGAGCACTTGCCTAGCAAGCATTGAGGCCTTGAGCTCAAACCCGAGTACCACCCAAAAAAAAAAAGAAGAAAGAAAGAAAAATGTCCTAATTTATTGTTATTTTTTCAGATTTCTTTTTTCTGAATACATTGATATCAATCCATTTAGCTTCTTTAGATCATTCTCAGCAGACCAATCAAATAATTTAAAAAATCTAATAATTTATATAATGAAATTGATGGGGTTCTTAGTCTTGATAAATTGGCTTAAATCTGCCCTTGTAAATTGGCTCAGAGCCCTGAGATAAATTAGTTCTAAGATGAGAAGTCAGTGGATGCATTTGAAGTTTCTCATTTTGGGGGGGAGGGGAGGTGGCCCGAACAATGTATACACATATAAGTAAATGTAAATACAATAAAATAAAGAAAAATGTTTCTCATTTTAATTACATCACTACCTAGGTTATAGTACGCTTGATTCATCATACCTCCATCTACCTCCGCTCTTACCAGCATCTTTCTGTCAAGAAATATTGATGCTTCTCTGTACAGTCAGCTGTGAGCTGCTCATGCTCAGTTTTTCTTTCTTGACCCCTTAAGCTAGATTCTCAACATCCCACTCCTAGGTTGTCTGCCTTACTCATGGTGAAGTTCTGACCCTTATAGCTAGAAGTATAGCAAGAGAGATACCTTTTTCCTGGATGCTTATCACAGATGGGTCACACCTGGTATCTGATTGGAGGGTCCTTAGCTAGGTTTGCTGAATGAAAACACTGTAAGTTGGTACTTGATTGATTTTTTTTTTTTTCTGTAATTCCCTTTATCTCAAGGGAGTTGAATTGAAATTTCACTTAGATAAATTAAACTTGTATCTTTTATGCATTGTTAAATTGCTTAGCAGACTATTGAGTAACAGAATGTTGATTTTTAAGTCTGTGTATAGCTAAGGAATTGCACATTTTTTTTAATGTTATGTCAGTATTGTCTTTTCTGGTAGAAGTATGGGTTTTTAATTTATGTATTTTTTTTTAATTTGTGAGAACTACTGATTACTTATGTTTGTCACAGGTATGACTGATTATAATCTTAAAAGCAACCAAAAGGTGCTTATTAACTCCTTTTTTTTTTTAAATCTTATTTTAGCAACAACCAGCTCAGTTTATAAATCCAGAAACTCCTGGTTATGTTGGATTTGCAAATCTTCCCAATCAAGTTCACCGAAAATCAGTGAAAAAAGGTTTTGAGTTCACACTGATGGTTGTTGGTAAGGAATTAATTTATAGCTTCAAGTTTATTAAATATACTCCTTCCTTCTAACCTGTACAACGGAGTAGTGTGATCGATGATGGAAGAGGGAAAATGCCTTTCTTGTCCTAGAACTTGGAAATTTGGAAATAAATACATATTCCTTAGAAAATGTTAAGAATAAAATTCCATTTTTCTGTCATTTCCATATTTATATGTAATGAAAAGTTTCATTCATTGTGGTAGCTAGCCTCCACAATGTCCTCCAGTGATCCTTGTCTCCTGGTATTTACAATCCTTCAAGCCTCCACCAACACTGAATAGGGTCTAAATATAGCCAGTGAGATACTGCAGAAATGGTGTGACTTCTAGGACTGCATGATAAAGATATTGTGGTGCCCATCTTGCCTTTGAGTCACTCACTCTGGGGGAAGCCAGCTGCTCAGTCTTATAAATGCAAAGAATTGAGGCCTACCCATAGCTGTGTCAGTGACCCACTCAGAAATGTCCTCAACCCCACATAGGATTCTGATGTATGCCTGCCATCCCAGCTGACATTAACTACTACCTCTTGAGAGACTCCAAGCCAGAACCATCCTCTTAATACTATTGTTCACCCCCCAAAACCTGGGAGATAATTTTTATGGTTGTTTTTCAGTAATGGTTACATATTAACAGATAAAAAAATGTACTCATTTCTTTGGAATTGTGTTTAATTTTAAACTGTACTCAATTTAAAAAAATACTCCGAAAATTATAGTGATGGGAATATGTTAAATAACAGTCATTACTATAACATTTTGCCCAATATTGAAGTCCATTGAAAATGAGTGATTACTTGGAATTTTTGTTGTCGTGTCAGATATGTGTGTATGTATGTATATATATGTATATATATAGTGTTTCGGCCTTCCACAAGAAGCTTAATAATGAACCATTAGTTCTGTTAATTACAGCATATTGTATTTCATTCTTGGTAACTGCACAACTCTCAAAAAAATATGAGGTTGGCATAGGAAAAGTTTTATGATGGTCATGAATGGGTAGAGTTAGTAGTTCACAGACCTGAAATGAATGAAATTGTGGAATCCTTATTGAAGAAAAGAATGTCCTCATGATTGGGTGCCAGTGATTAAGGTTTGAGGCCAGCCCAGGCAAATGCAAAATCCTCTCTCAAAAATACCCAACAATTAAAAAAAAAAAAAAAGTGCCAGTGCAGTGGCTCAAGTGGGAGAGTCCCTGTGTAGCAAGTGTGAGACCCTGAGTTCAAATTCTAGTAAAAATTTGAAAATTTGCCCATAAAAAAAGAAATGTCTGCAGTGTTTTAGGAGCACTTTGTCATGATAGTAATATATAGAGTGTCAGATATTTACTGTTTATATCATCTTAGGCTTTGTGGGCTATACAGATTTGGGCCCAGCTACTCAACTGTACCCTTAGTAGTGGAAAGCAACCATACATAGTACATGAACAAAGAGGTACAGCTGTGTTCTGGTAAAATTTATAAGAATAAGGAGCAAGCTGGGATTGAACTGTGACCCATAGTTTGCCAACCCCTGAAATAGAGACTAACCCTACCGCCATGAATAACTAGAAGACTGACTAAAATATATGAAGGAGCTCTTTTTAAGACATTGGATAGTAAACAGTGCCAGGAGTTTGATCCTTCGGGAAAGCAAATTATAAGGAATGTCAAGTTAGTCCAGCTTTCTCCCCTTTATCCATCCATGACGTGTGACACAACAGTGTCACAGAGTTGAAGTGATTGGAATCTGAAGCAGTAGGGCAGATTTCCCAAAAAGATAAAGGACTCCTGAAATTCCCAGTTTAGAAGAAGAACACAGTTGAAGAACTTGCCCTGCCAGATTTCAAAGAATTAACCAGCAGAAATCAAGAGAATATGGTAAGGGCCAGCATAGAGAGCATCTGAACCAAGCAGCTGCCCAGAAGTAGACCTACGTACATAAGGTCAGTTGTTTTGACATAGATGCCAAGGTAATGTAATGACACAAAGTTAGTCTTTTTATAAATATCATCTCAGTGATCATATAGGGAAAAATAAACTTCAACTCCTACTTCACACTATTCATCAAAATTAACTTGAATGGATCATATGCCTAAATGTAATAGTGTGAAAGTTTTGAGACAAAGTAGACAATTTTATGAGTTTGAGGTATGCACATTTCTTCATACACTAAAGAACAGTAAGCCCAAAAGAAAAAAAAATTATGCTTCATTAAAAATTTACTTTGTGGTACAGCGTCTGTGTAGCAAACCCCAGTACTGCCAAACACAACAGCAGTTTATTTTAATGAAAAGAAAGTTGAGCTATGAACCAAGAACATTTTGGTGATGCCATATCTGACAAAGGATTTACTCACAACATACGAAAAACTGTTCCTTAGTCAGTAAGACAAATGACCAGTTACAAAATGGGGCAAAAGATTTGAACAGACGTTTCAGTAAGAAGGATAGACAAATGGGCAAAAAACACACTTGGAAACCATGGTGAGATACTGCTCACCCATTGGAAGGGCTGGAATTTTTAAAGGCTGACAGTTGTAGTATTTGAAGGATGTGGAATAATTGGTACTCTCCTAACTGCTGAAAGTATGAAAAGTGCTATAACTGTTTTGGAAACGAGTCGGTACTTCCTTAACTCACACCCAGAATTCCTGCTCTTCCCAGAGACTTGTATGTGAACTTCGACAGCCACTTTACTCAAAATAGCCCCAAACTGGAAATGGTACAACAGCAGAGTGGTTAACACATAAATGGTCTTATATTCATTGTTATATTGCTCAGCAATGCAAAGAAACAATTCTACTGACAGATACAGTAGTGTGGGTTAATCTCAGCCTGTGCTGAGCAAGAGCAACCAGCCACAAAGAGGTCATGCTCTATGATTCTGTTTATGTGAAGTTCTGGAATAATCAAAAGCCAATCCATGGTGACAGCAGATTGATGTGTGCCTGCGGTAGGGGCCGGAGAAGACTGAGTTGGCTAAGTCATGCAGAGGGCTATGGAAATGTCTCATGTGCTATGTAGAGTTTAGTTAATCTGAGCATACACTTCAGTCAGATACAGTATAAATATAAACAGGTGTGTTTTAGAATGTAAGTTATGCCTCAGTAAGGTTGGTTTAAAAGAAGGCTAACCACAAGTACCCTTAACTTTAAAATCATACCATGAAGCACAAGAGAAATGATTTGTCAGAAAAAACCCAAAGCACCTGACTGGAATCAAGAAACTGTTGAAGAGGAAAGGCATAGTTTTTTAAGTTGTGGCAGACTTTGAAAGCAGCAGACAAGCTCACAAGTTGACCGATCCACTGCACACGATAGGCTACACGTTTGTGCAGTAGTTGGTACACCAAGAACTGTGAAAAGACATGGAGGCAGGCAGCCAGGCACAGGATGTACGTGAGAACACGTGGTGACCATGGGGCTGAAGATTGTATCAAGTTCTACCCAAATTTATGTGGGATGGTGGCATAATTTTTAAGAAAAATAAGATTCAAAATATAAGGCTTATTGCCGAGTACTACCTGATGGAAAATTAGGCTGTTAGTGTGATCAAATTCACAAAAAGGTTATAGAGCAAACACTTGAGAACTAAGCTAAGAAAAGGAAAATTGGCCATAAAGCAGAAATATGCTAGCATAATTGCAGGTTACTGTTTTGTAAGGTTGCATATTAGGAGTTTTCCCTGGGATGGGCCACATGAGCATCACTTGGCCCAGTTCATGACTGGGTCATCTGAATGGGCAGAAAAGCTGAGCACCAGAATAATGCCACTTGGGCTTCAGCAAGAGACCATTGTGTTGTTTGAGATACAGTTTCATTCTCATGTTAAAAGTTGAAAAATTGATGTAAAGAGTTGCTCTGAAAGCCTGTTTTTAAACACTTTAAAGTTTAGATTAAATCTAAAACTTAGATGACTGTTTGGTAATATTTCAGAATGGCATAAAAAAAAGCTTAATTTAATTTTTAATTCTACATGTATTTTTATGTCATCATTCCATCCTGTGCCCAGTTCCTTTCTGATTAGGATACAAGCCATTTTAAAGGACAACTACCTTAATTCTGACACTTTTTAAAAAAAAGTTTCTTGTTATTCTGTAGACAAAAATGAGAGTGCTTGACTCCATTGTATGTGTTTTGGTTTTTTTGGTGGTGGTTTTTGTCTTTTGGCAGTGCTGAGGTTTGGACTCAGGGCCTTGCCTATGCAGGCACTCTACCACTTGACCCATGCCCATAGCCCTTTTTGCTTATTTTTTTTAGGTAGGGTCTTACCTTTTTTTAGGTAAGTTTCTTGCCTTGGGTTGGCCTCAGACTTATCCTACATACCCACATCACTGCAATTACACATGTGGCTTGTTTGTTGAGATGGGATCTTACTACTTTCCCAGGCTGGCCTGGAACCATTATCATCTTCTCTCCACCTCCTAAGCAGCTGGGATTACAGGCATGTAGTATCACATCCAGCCCTTCCATTGTGTCTCGTATTAGCATTGTTTTGGATGGGGGTAGGTTTATACTGACGGGATCTTTTCTTGTGTGTCTTTTCTGTGCATGTGTATCAGTTTCTCCTATTTGGTGGTACCTATTTGAGAAACTCCTAGCCAGGATGGAGATTCTAGTAAAAGTGGGACCCCAAAGCAGGGTGTTCTCAGCTTCAGCCCAATATTACTGTCATGTTCTGAGATAGTGAAAAGATTATGGATGTTACTCAGAAGTTATTCCAAGTGAAAGATGACACATATCCTTAAAAATAAGATTTTTTTAAGGTACAAGTAGCACTGGGATAATACAACAGATTTTTAAAAAGAAGCCTTGCCAGTACTTTTGCTGAGGTGTCTCCTGTACCTCGTCCTTTTTCAGCTCTGTTTCCCATGGCTGTCACCACTCTACAGTGGTGGGGATTTTGTCATCTCTCCTACTTGTCTGCAAAGCTCCAAGGGAGCCGAAATTTCTGTCCATCCTGTTCTCTAAGTCCCCAAGACTAGACCTCTGCAGGCTTGTGACAGGACTTGGCAAATAGTAAAATCCCCTTTGCATGCAGGAAAAGGGCATTGCTAAACATCTCACTGAAAGGACACCTTGATGGTGCAGAAGGAGTTCACATTCATATTTGGGTATATTTGACTTGAAGTTCTAGTTTTGTCTTTTCCACCTATGGAAATTACAAGAAAAAGTGCAGCCCTAATATATGTATACATGTTTCGAGTTCACCTTTTTACCTTGTTTTTTTCCTAGGGACAGTGATTTTTTTATACACATGTATATGCCTTTCTCATGCTGTGTAGAAGAGACTGTTAGTGGAAGGAAGCTCAAGCTGCAGTGCTGGGGCCAGTCTGGTACCAGGTACAATGTAGTACCATAGTCAGAAGCACTTCTGCAAAATTAAGGTTAAATAATAACCTACGATGAAGCAGTGGAATTTGTTTGTACTTCCTTCTAATAGAAAATTTAATTTTTGCCATTTTGCATTTTTTTAAAGTTAAATGTCAGCTGGACACTGGTGGCTCATGCCTGTAATCCTAGCTACTTGGGAGACTGAGATTGGGAGAATTACAGTTTGAGGCCAGACCAGGCAAATAGTTCTCTAGTCCCCATCTCCAAAATAGCCAGAGAAAAATGGACTAGACGTGTGGCTCACTATAATGCCTGCTTTGCAAGTGTGAAGCTCTAAGTTCAAATCCCAGAATTGCAAAAAAAAAAAAACAAAAAATATTTAAATGTCAAACACTCAATAGAGTAGATGAAGAGAGGGTCTTACACCTGGATGACGTGCTGAACTAATCATGTCACATGAAGCATAGTAGGTGTAGAAGCTGTCTGGCTCATTGAGGACCTGGTGTTTGTAAAACCTTGAGGAAGAAGGCTGAGTAGCCCAGTGTTGGAGAATGAGATTGCAGAGTACATGTATGTCAGTGAGTTTGCAAGATAGCGGGCGCCGTTCTGTTTATCCAACCCGCAGCTGGAAGTACAAGTGTATAATGTGTTCAGAGTTCTCTGAAATGTGATGAGTTTAAATATTCACAGAACCCAACTATTGAAAACCTACTTTGTGCTGTACACTGTGGCTCACACCTGTAATTCCATTTACTTAGAAAAAGAAAATAGGGACTATCATGGTTCAAAGCCAGTTCAAGCAAAAAGTTAGAGATACTTCATTTCAACTAAGAAGCTGGGAGTACTAGAGTGCATCTGTAATACCAACTAAGTAGGAGGCATGGGTAGGAGAAGTGCAGTCAGGCCAGTTACTGGGAACAATACGAGACCCTATCTAAAAAATAAAATAATAAAAGACCTGCGTTGTGGCTCAAGTGGTAGAGCACTTACCTAGCAAGCACAAGACTCTTGCATTCAAAAGTCAGTAAATACTGCCCAGAAAAAAAAGAAAATGTACTTTTCATTGTATTTGTCAAAAGATGAAGAACAGCCAAGTGTAGTGGCTCAAGCCTGTAATCCTAGCTACTTGGCAGATCCAAATGGATAGAGGTTTGAGGCTAGCCCAGGCAAAAAGCTGTGAGAGCCCATCTCCATGAACGACTGGGCACGGTGGTAGGCACCTATCATCCAGCTACATGAGGAAGCACTCACAGTTCTGGCTGGCGCAAACTTAAAGGGAGATCCTATCTCAAAATAACCAATGCAAAAAGAGCTGACAGAATGATTCAAGTAGTAAAGTGCTGCCTAGGAAGCGTGAAGCCCCGAGTTCTAACTCCAGTACTGCTGAATGAATGTGAGAGAGAGACAGAGAGAGAGAGAGAGAGAGAGAGAGAGAGAGAGATCCAAAATGCATTCCACACATTTGTGAGAAGGTAATTGTGTTCTGATCATACCATGTGCAAGTTCTGGAACCCACAGGCCTAGATTCAAATTAGGTCATTGTTCTGGATAGCTCTCTCACCTTGGGCAAGCTATTGGACTTCTGTGAAGCAAGAAAAGGGGTACCTAATTCATAGTTGTTGTATATTTGTGAGGTGCCTAATTCAGTAGCAGGCCTCAAGTAAGTCAAGTTTAACAATCATGTGGGAAGGTCATGACATGATTTTCATTTCATTCCAGGTGAATCAGGTCTAGGAAAGTCGACTCTCATAAACAGCCTGTTCCTGACTGATCTCTACCCAGAAAGAATCATACCTGGAGCTGCAGGTAAAGACATTACCATACTTACCTGGCAGGGGAGATACCCATGATCAAGAAGGTGGTTTTCCCAGGGAGAGGCTTATCCATTCCACTCTGGATATGCTGACCCCTGTGATTTCCCCAAGTGTGGGAAACTCTACTGCATAATTTGTGATCGTGGGGGACCTAAGAAAAAAAAGAGAAAAAAAAGACATTTCCATGTCACTATAGATGTAACTCTGTATGAAAGTCGCTGAAGGGCACACCATTGATAGATTGTGCTTTAGCTCTGTGCTTTGTTTGTTCTTGGTTTTCATTAAACATTAAGGAGCATGCCGCATGTGTAGGAAAGCTTGTTGCACCTGCAGTCTTGGGATCTCGTAGCTGTTATTTCACTTGTGTCCATGTACATATCCTATCCTTGAGTTTCTTTATAAAGTGTCATAATTTCCTTCCTATATTTTACATTGGATGGAAGGATCAAATGAGGATTTTATATCACTAAAAATGCTACATAACTCATCTGCCATACTGAGTATTCTAGTGCAGGACACCAGCATTTATAAATAATTACTAAGCACGCAGAGTCGGCCCTGAGCCTTGGATTGCCACAATGAGGACATACAGCCTTTTCACCCTATTTTTTAATTCAGTTTTTAAGTGAATTCATAAAGTTTTCTTGATGCTAGAAACAAATTTTAATTCTTGATAATAGGCATTTTTAATCTTCTGAGCAGCACATGTCAGTGAGCACTGACGTTTCCCTTGTGACTTTGGGGTCATTTTGAACAATCCATGTTGCCTTCTGAGAACCGTCCTCCAAAGAGAGGTAGTGATCTTCCAAGTCACTTATTGTAAGCACATTAATAATAGGTAAGTTCTCCCTCTTTGTATGCTGGCTTAATTTTAAGGTACATTTGCTTTTTAAGTTTGTTTCTTTTCCAGAAAAAATAGAAAGAACTGTCCAAATCGAGGCTTCAACTGTTGAGATTGAAGAACGGGGAGTCAAGCTGCGCCTCACAGTAGTGGACACACCTGGCTATGGGGATGCCATCAACTGCAGGGATTGGTATGACCCACAGACAGCATAGGGCCCCAGAGTTTCAAGGACTATGTTTGTTCTAGTGTATTTACTGACTTTGTTTGGGTTTTTTTGTTTTGTTTTTTTGAGGCAGAGTCTTGTTATATAGTCCAGGCTGGCCCCTGTATAACCCAGTCTGGCCTCAAACACACAATCCTTCTACCTCAGCCTCCTGAGTGCTAGGATTACAGGTGTTTACCACCATACCCATCTTTGTTCTAATGTATTTAAATTGATAGATTGTGCCAATGAGTGATTATTAGGCTTGGGTAGCTATATCCAGTGAAATAGACAATTTAAAACATTAAATACTGGATTCTTAACTAAGGAATTTTATAGAGAATAAGTATTTTGTAAGAGCACTCTAGTGAGATCTAAGAGGGTAAAGCTAACCATCCATAGACTGCTAATATAAATGAAACCATTGATAATGAGTAAGCTTTGTAGTACAGTCCTTCCATATGGAAGAAAGTGAAAACCTTGGAAGTTGCTTGAGTCTTGGTGCCTATAAATGACTGCTTGTTGGCATCATTTTCACAAATTAGGAAATCAAGAAGTAGAAGAAGTTACAGCAGCAGGTTGCCTGTGCTGTGCAGAGAATCCTTCCGGATTCTAAGCCCATCAGCATAATGAATCAACTTTCCAGCTCTAGGTTAGAAAAGGAAGGAAGGGAGAAGGTCCTCTTTCCTGTGTTAGGAATCTCCCATCCCATGTCACATGGTGAGTTGTCCTGTCTGGACCCCATGCTTCCTTCTCCCACTCTGTTGGCGTCTCTTCACAGTTACACTTCTTGAAAGGGTTGGCAGCCCTCCGACCTCACATGTCACCTCTGGCACCTCATAACCTCTTCTATGCAGGCTATTAACTGCCAGTGCTTAAGGAAAATTAACCTTGTCACAGTTTCACAGAAAACCTCCATTTTTGCCAAATATAGGAGTCAGTCTTCTATTATGAATTCTTAAATTACATATGTTAGGTGGGGAAAGGGAGAGAAAAACCTATTCTGCCATTGCAGTAAGGGACTGACTGTCTTTGTAACCCGTGATTACTCTGACATTTGTGTTTCAGTTTTAAAACGATTATCTCCTACATTGATGAGCAGTTTGAGCGCTACCTGCATGATGAGAGTGGCCTGAACAGGCGGCACATCATTGACAACAGGGTTCATTGCTGTTTCTACTTCATTTCACCTTTTGGACATGGGTGAGTTAGTTGTTTACCATGGAGACCTGATTGACTGCACGTTTATAAGCTTCCCCAGAGTTCATATTGCAACACAAGAACTGAGATTGTCTTCTGGAAAAAACAAACAAACAAACAAAACTTGTGTGATCTCCCTCTTCTTTCCCTAAATACATGACTTGTTTTTAGACTGAAGCCCTTAGATGTTGCATTTATGAAGGCGATACACAATAAGGTGAATATTGTTCCTGTCATCGCAAAAGCTGACACTCTCACTCTGAAGGAACGTGAACGGCTGAAAAAAAGGGTGAGTGACAGCTGAGAGCCAGCTGCCTGGGAGCAGGAGGAATCCTGCAGACAGGGCTGCTGCTCAGATGCTGGAGGCAGGGTGCAGAACTTGACCTGCATCTTGGGAGTAGAATTCAAAGAACACCTAATACTTGCAGGGTTTTTTGTTGTTGTTTGTGTTTTTACATTTTAACATGAAATTTATATTTTTAAAATTCTTCTTAGATGAAACCTTTTATTCCTCCATGAGTGGAAGGTTGTGTGTTAAGTAAATAATGCGAACATGGAAGTGTATTGTCTATGGAGTTCTGTTGTTTCACCCAAATACTTTACTGCAAATGATGTGTTTTAGTAGAAAAGTTCTCTGCATTTGGGTTGTGAAGGTGTCATATCACAGCTGCCAGCAGATAGGTTTCGCTACCCAACCACTCCAATACTGACTGGTTGTTTTGTGGTACCCTGTTTTAGCACCCTCTCCTGTATAAAGCTTCTTTATTGTCTCTGCTGCTACATATTTCTAAAACCTATTTACCTTTTCTGACTGTGTACTACTTAAAAGCAAACAGCCAGACACCAGTGGCTCACGCCTGTAATCCTAGGTACTCAAGAGGCAGAGATCAGGAGTATTGCAGTTTGAAGCCAGCCCTGGGCAAATAGTTAGCAAGACCCTATCTCGAAAAAACCCAACACCAAAAGGGCTGGTGAGTGGCTGAAGTAGTAGAGCGCCTGCCTGGAAAGCGTGAGGCCCTGAGTTCAAACCCCAGTACTAACCAAAAAAAAAAAAAAAGAAAAAAAAAAAGAAACATACAGACAGACACTTCGTTTGCTAACCTCTGAACTGTGAGGTCTTTTAGTTACCCACAGAAACTTCTATTAAGTTTGTATCCTTCCAGAGCATACTATACATATGCTTCAGTTTTTACAGAATGAAATGACATTGTAATAGCAGTCTACCACTTAATTTTTCAGTTTAAAAATGTATTAAATCTCATCATGCATCCCTCTACCATAATTCTTACTGGAGGCACAGTGTTCCAGTGTATGAATATGCTGTGACTTGTGGTGCTGGTTCTCTGTTGATGGACATTTAGCTTATGTTTTGTTTCCTCTGGCTCCCTTCCATCTCTGACCAGAATCTGTATTACATTGCCCCTTACTGTCTATCAGACCAAATCAGTTTGTACATTTTTGCTAGTGATGCCTTCTGCCTAGACAGTTATTCCGCCAAGATATTTTCATTACCCTTCATCATAATTCTAATCCTGACCACATGACTTCACACCCTCCCCCTCCACACACAATTCTTGTAGCATTCCCCAGCATACATAATGTGTATCTTCATTGTGTTTTCGGCTTCTCTTCACCCCACTCTGAGTCCTAGAAATCCAGAATCTTTGTTTTATATTCCAAGAATTTAGAATAATACCTGGCACATAGTGGGAATTAGGAATGCAGTAATGTTTGCTGAGTAATTCTGTCTTTTTTTACAGTGCTGGGATTTCATCTCAGGGCTCAGACTTGCTAGGCAGGCACTCTGTCACTTGAACCAGTACCTAGTCATTCTTGCATGTTCTTTTTCAGGCAGTGTCTCACAGATTTTGCCCAGGGTCGGTCTCAGACTATGATCTTCCTACCTACAGCCTCCTGTATAGTTAGGACCACGGATGTACACCACTGCATTTGGCTTATTGATTGAAATGGGGTCTGGCTAATACTTGTGTCTAAGCTGGCCTAGAACTTCGATTCTCCTTAGTAGCTGGGATGGTCCCGAGCCACTGTCCCTGGCCTTTATTGAATAATTCTTGTAATGAACATTGTATGTCAGTACACACTTGTGTCTTCTCAGGATTGTATAAGTCAGGTGAATTCTTAGAATGGAAATTATTGCACATTTAAATTTTTGAAAGATGGCTGAATTTCCCCAAATAAGCTTGTAACAATGGACTTTTCTCAAAATAGGCTCTACACTCAGCCCAGAACTATCTTGGATAGGTTACTTAGACATTGGCTTTTGTTTAATTTGCAGCTCCTTTACTGCAGGTCTGTGTCTGTCTGTCCTCATGTGCGATGCCTGTTGGTGTTTCCTTTTTCATTGACTTAAAAGATAATTTTTAAATTTATAGATACTGACTACCACGTTGCACTGATTTCTCCTGGTTTGGGTTTTGTACTTTCATGGGTCTTAGTATATTTTGCCATCGAAGGCTTTTTAAGCTGTACATGACAGCTTAAAATGCAGTGCCTGCACATTTTTTAGAAAATATTTAGGCCTTTGGAAGAACCTCTGAAAGCCAAGACATTTTTATACTTGACAGTATTTTTAGTAATTTTCACATCACCTTCTGTATACTGTTACATTTCATTGAGGTAGAGGAGGGAGTGTCAAGATTGGAATGTTCTAATCCTTATTTCTAAAATCTTATATCCAGAACCTTTAGGGCCTGTTGATAAAGTCTGAGATGAATTGAAATTCTACAAGCATTTGTCCCTCCTCTAGTTTCTTCCCTTACGCTACATTTTGTTCATACCGTCTTTTCTAAAGAAACTCTTGCAGACCTTTTTCTCGCTCTTCCATGTTGTGTCAGAAACCTCCTGGCTAATGTGACCCATCTCTCCATGACCCCTTTCACTGTGGCTTTACCTCATCCAGCTGCAGTTTTTCTGCTGTGGGCATGGCCCACAGTTCTGTCATTAGACAGGGTCTCATCTGTGACATTTGCCATGATTGGCATTTCTCCTTCTGAAACTTCCCCTACTTGGCTTTACTTTGCCCTTTGCTGATGTCACCACCTATGTACTTCCCAGACCTCCCAAGGGTAGTGTTTGATCCTGCTTTGATCATATCATATCTCTGATTGGCTTTTCTCTTCCAGAGATCTTACTTCATGTAAATTCCACTGCTTAATTTTTCCAAAGGATGAAGTGCTTCCTCCCATCCCAGAATAAGGGTTTATGTAAAGAGCGAAGGTTGCAAAATAAAGGATGTGGAGAGACAGACCTTTTTTTGAGTCCTAAGTTAGGAAAAACAGTGTGTTAGGTCCAAGATCTCTGGTCTTCCAAGATCAGAAGGTCACACTATGGAGTAAAACGAAAAGCCAGTATGGTGCAAAGTTGAGGCAGGGTGTTTTTTGCTCCCTTTGCCTGTTCTCTCTTTCTTGATGGTATAGGTCTCAGTGAGAGCAAACAGAGCTCTATCCTGCTGGTGCCTATGGAGTGTTAGGCTCACAGTGACCACCAGGCTGGGTTGTAATTGGTTGACTAATCAATGACTGCCTCATTCAGCTCCAGCCCAGTTTTTCTTCCTCTCTGGGCCTGGTTGATGGGTCAAATTGCACGATTTAACTGTTGATTACTTGCTGCCTATTAAATCTAGATCCTCTTGTCTCTTGCCTGGTTTTCAGGAAAACCTCCATGTGGTGTAACATTAGTCTTTGTTTTTGTTTCCAACTAGATGTCCTAGGGCCAGGCATCATGGTGTACATCTGTAATCCCAGCACTCAAGGAGGATCATAAGCTGGAGCCCAGCCTGGGCTGCATAGTGTCTCTCAAAAACAACAAAAACAATGGGCTGGTGGTATAGCTCAACTGGTAGAATGCCTGCCTAGCAATCATGGGGCTCTGAGTTCAAACTCTGTACTGCCAAAAAAAAAAAAAAAAAAAAGGAAAAGGAAAAAAACCAAAAACAATGGGGGAAGAAAAACAACATGGATGTCTTAGATTCCAGCATCTGAATTTTCTTGTTATTTCAGAGACACAGCTACCTCTTCCTTTCATGCATTTCACAGGATCCTTTTTTCGTCCTGACGTGCCCTTCTCTCAACTCCGCTTGCTGCCCTCTGCCTGTTGCCCAGGGACCCACTGTGGCTTCCTCTGGCACTAGTCCTTGCTGACTGATTGGAGTGATTTTTGGTTTAGTTTAGTACAATGCTATTGTTAGTCTTCTTACCACATTGTGTGTTATTGTTAATATTGTCATGAACAGAAAAGCCCTCAAAATTCAAACAGATCAGTTTTCTGCACTTTGTAAAACCGTTTGGAAATAACTTTAATCAGTATTATTCTTTATTGATGTTTGGATAATTTTGATGTATTTCTAATATGATGAGTTAGAGCTGGTTTAAATAATAGGTAGTTTGCTAAAATCCATCCCGGCTTTGTCATTCTTTCAGATTTTGGATGAAATTGAAGAGCATAACATCAAAATCTATCACTTACCCGATGCTGAATCAGATGAGGATGAAGATTTTAAAGAACAGACTAGACTGCTCAAAGTAAGAACTAGCTCCACATGTACAGTGGGACTAGCTCCTGTTTCCTGTGATCTGTGCATGCATTTAAAGAGAAAGATTTGGCCAGGTGCCAGTGGCTCATGCCTGTAATTCTAACTACTCATGAGGCAGAGATCAGGAGGATCAGGGTTCACAGCCAGCTTGGGCAAATAGTTTGTGGGAACCTGTCTTGAAAAACCCTTCGCAAAACAATGGTTGTTGGCCATGAGTTCAAACCCAATATTGCAAAAAATGAAAAAGATAGATTTGGCATAGGGCCAAATCCTAGAGGGCTTGACTTGGTCTCTAAGAGATTGTCTAGGTAGGTCTAGTTATAATATTTTTGGCTGTAAATATATTTAAAAAGCTTTCACTTAAGGCTTAGAAATGTTATTGCAGGTTTAATTTGATTCCAGTTTGTCTCCTGTGGAAAATATCTTAAACTTCTAAGTGAAATGTACATGTCCTTAGCTCTCAGTTGAACTTTGTAGTAAACAGCAACCTTCTGGGTGGCTCAGGCCTGTAATCCTAGCTGCTCAGGATGATCGCTATTCAAAGCCAGCCCAGGCAAAATAGTTTGCAAGACCCTATCTCAAAAAAAAAAAAAAAAAGGGCTGGTGGAGTAGCTCTTGAGTTCAAACCCAAATACCACCAAAAAAAACCTCAATATGTGCTGATATACTTGTATTCATAGTAAAGATCAGGATTCCCTGTGTGTAGCCTGTCTTCTTTGTTTCCTTTTAGGCCAGCATCCCATTCTCTGTGGTTGGATCCAACCAGTTGATTGAAGCCAAAGGCAAGAAGGTCAGAGGTCGCCTTTATCCATGGGGTGTTGTGGAAGTGGAGAACCCGGAACACAATGACTTTCTGAAGCTGAGAACCATGCTCATGTAAGACATTCTGTATTCTTTGTGGCAGAGCTAGGCATGGAGAATTGTATGCGGCATACAAGACAGACAAACAGCAGTTTTGTGGTCATCTGTGGTCCGTTCTCATAGCGCTGAGGTGGCTGCAGGACCACTGTAGTTTGGAGCTGAGGTCCTTCAGTGGAGCTTGTTCTGTAACACTGATGAAATGGCATCTTCCCTTTCAGGCCTGTAGTGTAGTACCTGTCCTTCTTGCTTTCCCATCTCAAAATCACTGATACTAAAGTGAGACTGGGCTTCAGCTGTGTCTGAGTCCCCAGCTCTGGCCAGGAGATAGTCAGGCTCCTTCAGAGCACTAAGCAGCTGATTCGGTGTCAGGCTTGTCAGTCTGAGGCTGTCCCACTGGATAGCCCCATTTAGGTCTTAAGATTTCTACTCATTTTTAATAGGCCTGACTACAAAAGTAGACTTCTCCTTTAGGAATGAATTTCACATATAGTAACATACCTGCCTCACTATTATTCTTGAGTAAAGAGGCTAAAGGAAAGCGTGTTGCTTAAAATACACTTTTTTTTAGGGTGTCTGCCTTATGCCTGATTTTTGAATAGTTTTATGATTAAGGGTAAAGACTTTGGGAAACAGTGCAAAAAAGAAAATGAGTACAGTCTAGTGTTCTCTAAATCAGGAGGAAAATAAGAGAAATTCTGAGGTTATAGTGTCAAGGTCTGAACACTTAGGTGTCAGCATCATCCTCCCATCAACAGCAGGTGTATAATTATTGCAAACCTGCAAACCAGAGTCCTCTGGTGTTGTGGCTATTTCCTAGCAGCCCAAGCAAGAGCCCCTACGTCCACTAATCCAGCAGACTACCAACCTGCATGGCCACAATAAAACCAACCTAAGGAACAAGGTAGAGGGTATCACATGGTATGACATAACAACTTTCTACTTTTTTGTTTTTTATTTACATGTAGTTGTACAAATTTATGAGGTACAGCGTGATATTTCAACACCTTATATACAGCATGTACTGATCAAATTAGAGTAATTAGCATTTCTATCCCCTTATCACTTCCTTATGTTCGGAGCCTTCAAACTCCTTTTTTGTTCTTCATAAAATGTACAACTGTTCTTTAATCAGAAGAACTGAGAGAGAACATGATCTGGATAAATTGATATTTTGATTAGTGGAGAATTGCTGTATATGCCACCTATATCTCAAGTTAGCACTGTTTACTAATGAAAATCAGATGTTAGCATCCATGCTGTGTCAATGGTAGTTGAATGGTTTGTGAGAGAAGTTAAGGCATAGTCCAGCTCTGCATGCTGAGGCCTTGGCTGTTGCCACTCCCTCTTCTGGAGTTAGTCTCAGTAGGGACTTCCCCTTCAGTGCTGGCTGTGCATTTCTCAGGATGGAGGAAATGAGCCACTTTGCCTGTACGCAGTCTGTTTCCCTGGATCCTGGAATGTGAAAATGCCTGGTGATGTGCAGATACTACACAGACCTAGGCCTCACCACGTAGCGCTAATCCCTGTACAAGACCATGGCCATTTGAAAGAGGCAGGTACACAGAGATTTTAGAAGATTATTTTTTTTTAGTTTAAAGATCCAGAATCCTGGATCCTGTTTCTAGGACTGAATTATGATGTTTGCTCATCCTGGAGTTCATAGTGCTTGATAAAAAGAAAAAGGCTGGGCAATAAGCCAGCTAGGAATGTTTCAAAAGATGAGTATAAGGTTTAAGTTTAGTGTTACAGTGCTTTACTTTGTGGTCTTCTCCATAGCTTAAGCTAATCAATCCTTTCTGATAAAAGTTGTTTTGTTTTTTTGGCGGCACTGGGGTTTGAACTCAGGTCCTTAAGCTTGCTAAGCAGGCACTTTTATCATTTGAGCCACTCCACCTGCCATTTTTTGTGATGGTTGTTTTCGAGATAGGGTCTCTCGAGCTGTTTGCTCTCAATCCTCCTGATCTCTGCCTCCAGAGTAGCTAGGATTATAGGCATAAGCCACTAGCACCCAGCTCTGAAAAACATTTAAGCCTAAGAAGTCATGGATAAGAGAGCCAGGTGCTATTGGCCCACACCTATGATCCTAGCTACTTGAGTGGCTGGATCAGGAGGATTTGGGGGATTGAGATTTGAGGCCAGCCCAGACAAATAGTTTGCAAGACCCCATCTCCAAAATAACCAGAGCAAAATGAACTGGAGGTGTGGCTCAAGTGGTGGAGTGCCTGCTTTTCAAGGCAAGCCTTGAGTTCAAACCCCAGCCTCACCCTCACCTCCCCAAAAAAATAGTCATGGATATTTGAGTTGTATGTTACCCATAAGATCTTTTAGAAAAGTATGTTCTACCTAAAAAAATCTCCTAAAATCTATGTGCATCTGCCTCTCTCAAGTGGTGAGGGCCTTCAGTAGGGACTGGCAGTGGCTATGGTAACATCCAGACCTGAGGGGTGTCTGCATCACTTGTGGTCGTAAGGGAGAAGGAACAGACCTAACCAGGCATTTTCACAGCCATATCCCTTGTGCTGAAATCCCAGCAATTTGCCTCTAGCCCACCACATAATGAGAGGTGTTTTAGGTACTGGTGTTTCCTCTCTGTTCTTGATTAGTTTTTTTCCCATGAGAATGGCTTATACTTTTAGCCATTTTAGTGCATTTCCTTTTCTTTTTCAGCACTCACATGCAGGACCTCCAGGAAGTGACCCAGGACCTTCATTATGAAAACTTCCGTTCTGAGAGGCTCAAGAGAGGCGGCAGGTTGTTACACTGTCCATCTCCTGTCTTATGTCACCCCAAGTCACATTCCCCTCTCCTGTGTGTCCAGCTCAGCCTACTTGATAAGTACCCTGTGCTTCTTACTCAAGCATTGCTGTGCAAGAGCTGCTGCTAATTGAATCAAAAATAAGATCTTCTTGTCTTTGTACTTCAAATGCGTCTCTGTATTTCAGTGACACAGACTTGTTTGTTGTTAAGGATGAGCCCACTACGAGTGGCACTGGAGCAACAGATCTGCTCTCTGCAGACCCATGCAGCCATCCTCATCTTTTCTTTGTTACCATCTTAATGTGTTTTGTGACTCTTACCTGCCTGGTAAAATCACTCTGCTTAGAACAGAGCTTAGTGAATGAATAGTGATACATATCACTTATTGAAGGTTTTCTGTGTTATGTTGTTCATTAGAATACTCACATTTCAATAACTTGCTGGATTTGTGGATTTGTATGAGGTATGTGTTAAAGTCTCACTTACTGTGTTGTCAGTTTGGGAGCCAGATGTTAAGAAAGGTTTTAGAGGCAACAAAAAGCAGCCAAGCAGGAATCCTTACTGGAATCCTGCACTTGAAGGGCCCTATTGTCCAGTTTGCTTAGAGGAGCTTTCCTCTTTCCTCTTGGGCTGGGCTCTGTTCACTTATTCAAGTATTGCTTGTTCAAATACAACAATTTATCAGTTTGAGAGTAACTTACCTCAAACCAAGAGCTTTCTTCAGGTAAGACCTGCTAGTTTTTGAGGCACCCCCCCATTCCATGTATCTTGTCCTTTTTCTTCTCCCTGTTCTGTTCATCTTGTTTTTAATTAGAAAACAGAAAAATATATGTAATTTTAAGCAAATGTTATTTTTATTGGGTTATCTATGGTCAGAAATAACTCACTAGCTCATACCTGTAATCCTAGCTATTTGGGAGGCTGAGATCAGGAAGATCATGACTCAAGGCCAGCCCAGGCAAATAGTTCGATTGACCGCATCTCCAAAGAGAGCAAAATGGATTGGAGTTGTAGCGTAAGCTGTAGAGTGCATGCTTTGCAAGTGAGAAGCCCTGAGTTCAAACTCAGTCCCACCAAAAGAAAAAGGGAAAAGAAATAACTTGCCATATTTGCTGCAGTATTGTAATTATAATTTTTTTCTACTCTTTAGGAAAGTGGAGAATGAGGACATGAATAAAGACCAGATCTTGCTGGAAAAGGAGGCTGAAGTAAGTAGAAAAGGCCAGGTCTTATCACTAGACCTACTTAGTTTATACTACAAAGTATTTATAATTAACTTGGTATGGATTTTCTTTGGTGTGGTTTTTTTTGTTTTGTTTTGTTTTTTTAGGAGAGGTATACATAACAAATAAGTGGCAAGACCCATCTCCAAAATAATCAGAGCAAAATGGACTGGTGGTATGGCTCAAGCGGTAGAGCGCCTGCTTTGCAAGAGAGAAGCCCTTAGTTCAAACCCCAGTCCCACCAAAAAAAAAAAAAAAAAAGCATTTACACATAAATAATATACATGTTTTAGGTATTATCTCATTTAACCTCCAGTAGCAGCTTAGCGAAAAAAGATGGAAACAGTTTAATAACATGACTGATTTTTGTCAAATGTTCATAAATCATTTTCCTCATACATAGACAATAACCAAGTGGAAAATAGAATGAAATTGCCTTTTCCATTCATTACCAAAAATCTGAGAAAAAAATACATAGAGCTTACATGGGGGAAGAATTAAAAGACTCCACTGAAAAGATTTTGAAGATAATAGTGTAGATCATGACTTCTTAGGTGGGAAGAGTCCACGTAAGGATCACAGTCCTCTAAATTTTACACAGTCTAAAAGGTCCCAGCAGAATTTTCCTTGTTAGGGGAGCACTTGATAAAGTAATTCTAACATTCTAGAAGTAAGCCTGGACAATACAGAGAGCTTTTTAAGAACTGGACTAATGAGAAGAGACTTGCTTCACTGGTTACAAAAACACCAAGAACATCAGTCACTCAAATAGCTATCAAGAAGCTGATCAGAAATGCACAGAGTTGATAGACTCCAGTTATTTGATAGACATACTGTTTAGTGGTAATACAGTCACAGCGGGCTGCCTTTTGGAGACAAAAAGAAAGCTCACAGCCAGATTAATTGAATATTGATCAAATATTTAAATGTTAAAGCCATAACCACAAAGCTACCTGAAGAAAATTTGAGTAAATACTTAATAATACTTAACCTGGAAGCCTTTCTGAACGCACAAACCACAATAACAATTGTTTCACTGCTAGGATCTCAGTGCCCTCCAGAAAAACTGAATAATTTCCATTGCCCTTCAGTTCACATTCCCCCACTGGGTAACATCAATCTTTTTCCTGCCTTGTGGGTTAAAAAAATATTTGTCTAATGTTTTTTCAATTGATTTCTAAGAATTCCTTGTATTTTAGTGCATTGTCATGTCTTGGGGAAAGCACAGAAGTTAGTTTTAGGAATCACAGAACATCCATAACCAGTGTTCTGAGACAACCCTGAGCCCCTAGCATTGTGTGTGACGTGTACTGTGTCCACAGCTCCGCCGTATGCAGGAGATGATTGCGAGGATGCAGGCGCAGATGCAGATGCAGATGCAGGGCGGCGACAGTGATGGTGGGGCCCTCGGGCACCACGTGTAAGGTAATGTTTGTATATTACTGACTCAGACACATGGAATCTGGTGTCCATTAGCATGAACAACAGACAGTTATTACTGCAGGATTGCATTGTCCACTCACCTTGAGCCTTAATGTTTTTCATTTTTGAAGCTCTGTCCTTAGCCACATCACCAACCTTAAATGAGAAAGGATTACTCCTAAAAAGGAGAACTGACTCTCCACTGCCACCTGCTGTCTAGTAAAATTTTCCAAGTTTATATAAGAATGTCTCAGAAGAGAAATTATAAATACTTTGAATAACATTTTTTAATTCTCTTCAAAGAGAGGTCTAAGCATTATCAAACAGCTAGTGTAAATAAAAGTAAAGATGCCACAAAGAGGAATTATTAAGGTAACTTATTATAGACCATTGACCCACCAGGTTGTTGGGGCAGCTCTGCTACAATGAATATGGTATTAGTGAATCACATAGATTTCTGGCCTGGTGTTCACTGGTCTCCCTGCCTAAAAGGAATCTACAGAAACCAGGGACTCAAATAGAACAGCATATGTCTGCTCCCCTGTTCCTGTGGGTACACACTAAGCACTGTCCAAGTGGGTCACTCCAGATCACCTCCCAGAGGAAAAGAATGAAAGGTAATGTCAGAGAAAGACCTCAGAGTCCAAGGGAGAGAGTGCTCACATGGGACATGGTGAGGAAGGCAAACAGACATCGTGCAGAGATACAAGAGATACCAGCAGGGCTTGAAAGACAGTTCAAAGTGGCAGAGATTGGCGATGGACGTGCTGGGAATTAGGAAGAAGAGCTCCATTGTAGTTTAGGGGCTTCATTCTGGAGGCTTGAGCAATCATGACAATAGGGAGGTTACTTGGGCTTAGCTGGCATGCATGGCAGATTGGGAGAGAAAGAAAGCAAGGAGTCCATTGAACTGGTAGCATGGCTCAAATGATACAGCAATCACAAAGCCCTGAGTTCAAGCCCCAGAACCACAAAAAAAAAAAAAAAAAAAAAAAAATCCAGAGGCCTCCAGGACAGGTGGGCCAGGTGGTTTAGGAAGGACCTAGAGTGACACTGGGGCATTGGTCACCAAACAGAGCCCTGCCTGAAAGGGTGTGTTGCATAGTATGTATATAAAAAGATTTTTTAAATTCCTGTGCACATTTTTAATAATATAGGGAATGTCCATTTAACCCTTATCTGACACTTAAATTGGTTGCTTTATTTTTCATCATCACATGGAAACCTTGGGGAAAAAACAAAAACTGTAGGAGTCTAAAATGCTCTGCCTGCCACCATATCACTAGTGATGGGGCCTCCTGGCTCCAGAAGCTGGTTCTGCTTAACCAGTTTGGAGGGAAGCATCTCCTCAGGCAGGGCTCATTTGAGCAGGAGAGAAAGATAGATGTATTTTCTCTCATCTTGTTGCTTCTCCTTTCAAAATTTTATGGAATCAGTAAAGTTTTACTGATTCCATAACTAAATATAGTTATGGAATAACTATAGTTTATTTAAACTATAGTAAACTAATAGTTTACTATTCCATAAACTAAAGTTAAGTTTTATTTCCATATGCTTTTTTGTTTTGCATTACTTGGAATTTCCAAGAGCCTCAAATAGCAGTTGACTTACTGATCATGGAAACCCAGCCTTTTTTGCTCAGTTGCCCTTTGTTAGGCACAGAAGTTGTAGAGTTAACATTGCTGCATTACTCCCATTTCAATTGCTTTGTTGGCTCCAGCAGTAGAGCATGTGCTTCTCCCTCCCCCCTGCCCAAAAAAAAAAAAAAAAACCTTTAAATTGCTTTGTTTTGTTTCTTTCAGGAAATACTCTTGGATGAAAAGAAAATACATTCCAGACTAGTGCTACAGCTTGGAGTTTTCTTGAGGTCCTTGGAAAGGGTGCCTATCCAGATTTTAAGTACCTGTGCCTTAGAATTTCATTTTTTTAAAACTTTTGATGTGTTTTGTTTTTTTTATGAAGTACTTTTAACACTTGTATTTTCATTGCTGTTGTACTTTACACTTTGATTTTCTTCCTTCTTATCTGACCACTAATGTTAGAATGATTTCCAAGAGTCCACATCTGTAGTTAACATTGAACTTCCTTGGTGTAGCTGGCCTAACTGACTAATCGCTGATGAGCACTCTATTTGTATCTAGAACATTCAGATTTACCCTGTGTCCTGTGTTGTAGATGTACCTGTGACCAGGCCATTTGCTTATTACCAAGCCACACTGTGGAGACTGGCCTTCCTTGATTTTTTTTTTGTGCACAACACATAAAACCAGTTTTGCTGCTAATAGTTCAATACTGTTGATCCATCTGCATGTTTATCTGTTGACCAAGTAGAGCAGAGTAGAATTACCTAACAAGATACATTTATAATTAAAGAGCTTTTTAAAAATAGGCTTTTGGGGTGAATTTTAGGAGCTCTAGGTTGTGAAACTAGGTTATTTTTAAGGTCTTTGTGCAGAGAACTCACCACAAGGACTTTTTATTAGTGTCTTCCTCTGGTGCTGGTTATCCTGTGCTGTGGAGAAAAATCAAAGCAGCTATGAGTTCCAACTTCACCTTGCAATGAGACTGTATTTATGAGAGTCAGTAAACAGTTTTTACGCAACTAAAGAGGAAATAATTTTTTAAGAAACCAATCTTTATATTTTATACTGCACTTTAATGTACTTCTATAACTGCAGGTGTAAAAGATCTCCCTCAACAGTGGAAATTTTGTCCTTTGCCCAACATACCCCTGGACCCGGGCTTGTCACTGGGCAATATTCCTGCCCAAAGGCCTTGGCCCCATGAAGACCAAATGCCTGCCAGACCAAATGCTTTCCTCTGTTTCCTTTTTGAATGGTTTTTTGTTAAAAGAAAAAAGCAGTGGCTATTTCTTAATGGACAGACTGTCCCATTTGCATTGTCGTTTCATTCAGTTTGTGTGTACAAATTTCTCCATGTGTCTCTATAAGGACGAAAGACATTTCAGCTCTGTACTGCAAGCTGGTACACAGGCACCCATGGTTGAAGCCACACCTGGTCTGTCTTCTGATGCTGGCCTTGTCCCTCCTGCACTGCCTTTTTTCCTGTGTTCTTTCTCTTTGGGACACTCTAGAAGTCACTTTCCATCACCTTTCCTAATGTCAGGAAGCAGGTGAAGGAAACAGGACTGTGGAAGGGAGCAGGTGCTGGTTTAGTACTTTTCATTTCATTGCAACAGGAACTGAGCTGAAGATGAGACAGGCATTTGGGGGAGGGAGATTGTTTAGGTCAAAAAAAAAAAAGACTAAAAAATTGTTAGTTATGGAGTTACACAACAGAAAACAATTTGCTGTTCCCACTTTGTCCCTTCACTGTTGCATCATTGTGAATGGTCAAAGGCTCATTGGATGAAATTTACACCAAGAAAAGTGTTCCGTGACAGTACACCCGTACAGAATCAGTTATTTGAGTTATTTTGACATTTATTAACTCACTCAAGAAAGCTGCAAAACAAAAAAAAGAAGAAAAAACATTTCTAAGCGGTCAGTGTAAGCCCTGCATATGTCTTGGTAAAGGTACCACTTAGGGCCAGCTGCCTACTGAGCAGGCAGTGTGGGCTGGGAGGGCTTGTATGTCACACTCTAGTCTTACTTTGTTTTCCTGCCCAAATCTAAAAGTATACTTGTGCTAATAGATAATTGCTCTTTTACTAAGACATAATCTCTGCCTATAGAAATGAATTTTGAAAACACTTATTTTACACGAGTTTGTATCCATTTAAACTAACAGTTTTTTCAATAAAGCACTATTGTTTCAGTATTAAATAAGCAGGTCTCCCTTGTTCTTTATGAGGGAAAGGGGTGAAGTCTGTGGGGGAAGATGCAAGGCCCCAACAACATCTGCATATAAAAGCAGAGTTACTTGTATTAGCATTGGTACTGCTTGACTTCACCCTGGAGATAGCTCAAAGGAAAGGCCAAGGCTTGAACAGAATTCCTACGGTGATCAGAGCACCTGCGGATCACTTGGTAAAAATTAACAGTAATAAGAAAGTTCAGTGACATCTGTTACTTAATAGAATATCCGCAACAACTACCCAGTATCTGGAAATAAAAAAGTGAAATGTATCAGAGAAGAAATTTCTAATTACGCTCTGTATTTCTGAGAAAAGAGGTTAGCAGAGCCCTACAATTTTATTAAAGGAAACTTCAGAAACCTGGACTTCACCCTAGCCCTGGTGACAGCACCAGCACTCCCAGGCTCAGGGTCCTGGGCGGCCAACTGGACTGACCATGTGTGGACCAGCAGGGCCCCTCTTCCCTCCTAGAGCCACCCGAGCCCTGCGAGTGAAGCTCCTGCCGTCGGCTGCTTTTGCTTGCCCGGCCCTGAGGCGTGTGCGCACGCGGGCACTGCCATCGAGGCACGGGCAGCCCACCTGGCTCCGATGAGGACTGCCATCGAGGCACGGGCAGCCCGCCTGGCTCCGATGGGCACTGCCATCGAGGCACGGGCAGCCCGCCTGGCTCCGATGAGGACTGCCATCGAGGCACGGGCAGCCCGCCTGGCTCCGATGAGGACTGCCATCGAGGCACGGGCAGCCCGCCTGGCTCCGATGCCCTGGGCTCTGCGTGCCGGAGCGGCTGCTGGTGACGGGGAGCGGTGTGAGGACAAGGCTCGGGCGGTGGGGACCTCAGAGGCCTCTGGGAAGGGACGGCCATCCTTCGCCTGCCCAAGGCGTTCTCTTGGGAAGCAGGAATGGGTCGGGCTTCCCTCCAAGGTGGAGGTACAGTAGGAGTCGCTCAGGACGTGGACAGCAGCGGGGGGTGTCAAGAATGGATGCAGTGGCACGTGGGGCGGCCTGCTGGTGCGAGTTACAGACGTGGAAGGTCGGGGATCTGGTCTCACGTTTCCATTCCCGCCATTCCGGGGACACGAGGCCAGGGGGGACCGTGAGCGCTGTGAGGGCCCGGCATACTCATGCGACCTTACAGGGGCTCCCCTGGTAACCCTAGGAGGGGTGCAGTAGGAAGGGGCTTGTGGCCAGGGAAGAGACAAAAGGCGCGGACGCGACGAAACCCCTCTAGGGTTCGCGTTCGCCTGGCCGGCTTAGGCCCGGCGCGGGACCAAAAGCTTCCAAGCCAACCCAGACTCCGCCCAGCGAGCCGAGGCCTCGCCCAGGGCCCAGACCCCGCCCGGCGTGCTGGAGCCCCGCCCGGCGTGCTGGAGCCCCGCCCGGCGTGCTGGAGCCCCGCCCGGCGTGCTGGAGCCCCGCCCGGCGTGCTGGAGCCCCGCCCGGCGTGCTGGAGCCCCGCCCGGCGTGCTGGAGCCCGCCCGGCGTGCTGGAGCCCCGCCCGGCGTGCTGGAGCCCCGCCCGGCGTGCTGGAGCCCCGCCCGGCGTGCTGGAGCCCCGCCCGGCGTGCTGGAGCCCCGCCCGGCGTGCTGGAGCCCCGCCCGGCGTGCTGGAGCCCCGCCCGGCGTGCTGGAGCCCCGCCCGGCGTGCTGGAGCCCCGCCCGGCGTGCTGGAGCCCCGCCCGGCGTGCTGGAGCCCCGCCCGGCGTGCTGGAGCCCCGCCCGGCGTGCTGGAGCCCCGCCCGGCAGGCAAGCTTTGCAGACTTGCGTTGACTTCGGCGTCCTCCCCTCTCCTCCCGCCCCTTTTCCGTTACTGACCAATCACAACGGAGTATCGCGCTTGCAGGCGCGGGCGGAGAAGACCAATCAGCGGCGCGTCCGCGGTGGGGGCGGGATCGCGACGGGCGGGCAGGCTGTGCGGGGGCGGGGGACCGACGGGCAGTCGGGATCGGGCGGCGCCGTCGCGAGAGCTGGAGGCCGCTGCTGGCGGCGGCGCAGGCCAGGCTGGACAGGTGAGGACGCGGTGGGTTTGCGGGCGGGCGGCCGGGCGCTCACTGGGCCTCGCTAGGAGGACAGGCGACAAAAGCCGAGCCCTGAGGCCGGACAGGGCCTGGGGCTGGCGGTGCACCGCAGAAAGCCCGCGCCGGGTCTGAGGCCTTGGCGAAGCGCGCCAGCTCCTCCGTGGGTCGCGGTCAGGTGAGGACCGTGCCCCGTGGACGCCGGGTTTCCGCCGAGGCTGGCGCCCCCAGCAGCCCTGGGAGGCTCCGCCAGGGTCCACTGGTGAAAGAGCAGAAGACGCGTGGCCACTCGCTGCTGGCCCTTCAGCTGTGTCTTAACAGTCACCGCCTGTGTTAAGAAAGACGGGAGGGACTTAAAATCCCGGGCTCAGCGGTTATGGGGTGGCTTCTCTCTCTCGGTTGCTTTTGGGTTTTTTGTAGGTGTTTTTGGCTGGGTCGCTGTGGAAGGGTTTGAAAACCTTTGGGTGGCGCTGGGTTGAGACTTGGTCTTGTGTGGACAGCATTGTGACAGGTGACACGGGCTTTCTCAGTGCCACACAGACAGGAGAGGGCATTGGAAGAGGAAGGCGTGGAGGACCCTTGCTGTGAGGTCCTGGACACCCAGAGCCACTTGTGAGGCACTTGTCCGTTCAGTCACTTCTCCTGAAGTCTTGAGTGGACACATGCCCAGGTCGCACAGGCCCGTCCTTCCCTCGGCTCTTCTCTTTCTTTTTGAGGCACGGGTGTCTGTGGCTCAGGCTGGCCTTGAGAGCTCGTGATCCTCGCCTCCGCTTGGAGTGCTGCAGGTGCAGCCTGAGCCACCGTGCCCAGCGCACAAACCCATTTCAAAGCGCAGGAAAGGATGACAGCTCAAGGTGTTTGCAAAGCTGTTAATCACCCCTGCTGCTTCTGTCCCCTGCTTTGCCTCTTTATGTGGTCTTTATGTGGCTGCTACTGATGAACTAGATCCTGGTGGTTGAGTTTCCTGTCAGTTCTTAGTAGACCTCCAGGTTCAGTCCCAAAGAGGAAGTTGATAGAAAGTATATTCATTTTTCCCTACCTTAGGTGCCTTAACTATAAAATGGGCCTAAAATTCACCTCATGGGGTTGTTGTGAGGATTAAGTCAGTTTTAAAAAGCTGCTAACAAGATGCCTTGCACACACAATAAGTGCTTAAAAATGTGAATGATTATCATTATCAGATTGAAGACAGTAAAACTAAGCAACCCTGGGTATTTACCAAAAAAGAAAACAGTTGAAAGAGAATTAGACAATAATTAAGCAGCGTTATCCTGCTTGGAGGGAAGGCTTTAAGCTGAATTGCCAAGCAAAGACTTAATGCATAGGTAATCCCATGGGTGCCCATTTAGATCTACTTGGCCCTGAGAAATTTATTTTCCTCCTTTCCAAATATGCCTGTTTGTAGTCATATCAATACCTCTTCTGTATTCACATGCTAACAGATTTCTCTTGCTGCTGCTTACCTTTCAGTTATGTTCATGTTTTCCTTCACCCATTTTCCCATCAGCTCTCCAGCTTCCCTTTTTACAGTCACCTTGAGCTTCATACACACAGTGTGGCACTAGGTGTGCAACCAGAACCTTCCTGCAAAGTTGGGTGACTCTGGTCCTGTATGTTAAAATTAGGATGTATAGAATCATCTGACTCTAATACACTTGTCAATACTGGGGTTTTACTTTGACAACAGTTTAAAAGTTGAGGGTCACACAGAACTTAATATGATAAAACCCAGTCTTTGCTGGTTTTGGGGAGTGCTTATGTTGGTGAGATTCTGGTGTAATGTTTTTGGAGAGCAACTAGCAGTAAGTAATAAAGATTTTGATTTTAGAATCCCACTTGTGAACAATCTGATAAGGAAATCTTATGTCAGTAAGGAACATACTCCTTGGCCAGTAAATATACTTCGGCAAGCCCATTCCTGCCCTTCCCTCAAAGCAAAATTTGAACCATTTGATTCATAGAAATATGCTTTTAAATATGCCTAATGTAAGATGTGAAATGCAATTATAGTGTTGGAAAAAGTATGTAAGGAAATGGACAGGGTTAGGAGGGAAATTAGAGTGAAGTTAGAGTGATGGTAGTGGTTTTATTTTAGAGCCATGGAATTATTTTCCCCCAAACTGGTATTTTAGTTTGTTGCCATCTTAAAATTCAAAAGCCAAACGGCACTATAATACTGTAGGATACAATGACGAATGTTACTTCATCCCGTCTCTCCCCTCCCTAGCCCATCCTCCTGATTGTGTCCCAAAATAAGATGGTCATGTTGCATCCCATCTGCAAAACCTGCTTAGGTATGGGTTCATCTGGTTGGCTCACTGCAGCCCTCACAGCCCGGCTCCAGGCTAGTTCCTCTTCTCTCCACAGGTGTCTCAGGGCCTGGCCACACTCAGCGTTTCCCTTACCTGTGTGCACACTCGCCCTTTTTCCATCTGATCTGTTCCTATGAGCCCTCACCCCATCATGCTGGGAAGCTGCTGCAGGTTAGGCTAGTAGTGGCCCTTTTTTCTTTCTTCTTTCTGTGACTGCAGTGGGCAAGCAGTACTGATGGCTTACTCACTTGTCTCCTTTTCTGGATTAAACTACTTTCTCTTTGTGTGCCCTGTGTATACTGGCATCAGGGTGGGGTTGAGGCCACGTGTGTAACTGAGTAACTAGAGTTCCTTTGGCTACTGCACAAGGTTGTTGTGAGCAGTAAATGTAACAGTGTAAGCATAGGGCTTGACACAGGCCTCCTGGCAGTGCTGGTTTCTGCTGTCACAGCATCAGGGCTTTTTTTTTTTTCTTTTGTTTGGTACTGGGGCTTGAACTCAGAGCCTACACTACACCTTGAGCAACTGTAACAGCCCTTTTTTGTGATGGTTTTTTGAGATAGGGTCTCACAAACTGTTTGCCTGGGCTGGCTTCGAGCTGCAGTCCTCCTGATTTCTGCCTCCTACTCAGTAGCTAGATTACTGGCGTGAGCCACTGGTGCCTGGCTTTTTTTTTTTTTTTTTTTTTTTGTGAGGCCTTACCCATCCACACACCTGCCAAATACCTCTCTGCCGTCCTTACTTTACTTCCTCCAGGTCACCACCACCATTTAACATGTCTTTGTCTTGGCCCACTGAATTGGGAGTGATTTTTCTTCCTTAGAAGGTTCTGCATCCCCAAGGAAGTGCTCAATAAATGTTTGATGCCAAGTTTGATGGGGCCTGAAGCATATGTAATTTTGGGGAGGGAGACTCTAAGAAAAAGAATATAAAGTTACAAGTAAAAATTAACTTAGAAAGTAAGCATTTATTGAAATTGAGAAAATGTAAACTAAGTACAGGCTTGAAAAAAGCTGACCAATAATACAAATATAACTAAGCTGAGAAAAGTAATGTATTTGTTAATTACCTGACACTTCTATAATATTTTCCTTCTTGGGTATATATTTTAATTGCCTTTTCATATGACAGTGAGAGAACAGAAAGAATTCATAGATTCTTCCACAATAGTGAATAAATTTGTATTATTGATAGGATACTTAAAACATGATTTTTACAGACATATTTTCTGTTTCTAGTACTGCTACAGGATTGTGTTCCAGAAAAACAGGAATTCTAATTCTATTTTGCAAAATTCCATTCAAGAAAGAAAAAAATGTGTCTAAGGACATTTATTACTGTATTGTATTATTGACTTACGTCTCTGACAGGTGATAACTTTTCCTTTGACTACTGAGCACTGAACTCTGCCTACAGTTTAACACAGCTGATGATAAATTTCCCACAAAGGAGCATGTGACTCCCTGAATTTCGACCTTTTTTCCTTTTCACTGGCCATGCACTTCCCCTGCCAGATGCCATTGGATCCATTTACACTGCCTTAGGATCCCTGGTCCTGCACCTTTGTCACAAAGCCCTGGGACCACACAGGGTGATAGCTGCATCCTAAGAGCCTCATCTGGATAGATGGCTGGTAATTACTCAGGAGTGCACAGAAGTAACTGTGCACACAAGCACATCATAAATGTGCTCTTAGATCCAAGAAATTTTAAGTTTCCCTCCAAGCTACCTGATTACATGGGAGAGGACAAAGGCAAAGTTACAGTGGAAAGATGCAACCATCATAATTGACTGCAATTAGAATATTTTTGATAAATTTTACAGAAGCATATAACCATAGGGACACTTTGCTTAAGGCCTTTTCCCAGGATCTACTCCCAGATGAGAGGCCTAGAAACCTGAACCAGATTAGCCTTATAGTCAAGCACTTTGGCAGAGATAGTTTCTTAGCCCTATGATGCCAGATAACCCGGTAAGGGTGTGGGATGCATCTGTACATCTCGGATCGCTAATGTATTTGGGAAGGAGAAAGTAATGTTAGAAATTATTGAAATTACAAGGCCTTACTAATCTTTTGAAACCTTTATTAAAATCCCAGTTCCTTCAGTAGTAGTTGGTAAGAGGAATGTTGGAGAACAAGTCCTAATATCTGAATAAGAAATCAGTCCCAGAGAGTGTTAAAAATAATTATTTTATTTTATTTGTGGTACTGCGGTTTGAACTCAAGGCCTCCCACTTGCTAGGCAGGTGCTTTACCACTTGAACCACGCCACAAGAGCAAATATAACTCTTAGAAGAGAGACAGTTATTTTTGTTTTCTCTGGAAGGTAAGACTTGAAGCAGGTAGTGGTACAGGTGTCTGCAGGAAAACATCTGATTTCAAAGGCAACATATGCTCATCAGTGTAGGCAGTTTAGAAAGAAAGTAAAGTGAAAATCAGCCTTCTTCCCTCTGCCAGTGATAACCACTATAAGCATAAACATGTTTAAGATGCATAGCTGGGTACTGGTGGCTCACACCTGTAATCCTAGCTACTCGGGAGGCAGGGATCAGGAGGATCAAGGTTTGAGACCAACCCGGGCAAATAATTCACAAGACCCCATCTGCAAAATAACCAGAGCAAAAATGGACTGGAGGTGTGGCTCAAGCAGTAGACTGCCTGCTTTGCAAGAAAGAAGCCTT